TCTGGCATGCTCTTGGTTGTGGTCCGGCTGCTCTTGGTTATGGTCTGACATGCTCTTGGTTATGGTCTGGCATGTTCTTGGTTATGGTCTGACATGCTCTTGGTTATGGTCCGGCATGTTCTTGGTTATGGTCTGACATGCTCTTGGTTATGGTCTGGCATGTTCTTGGTTATGGTCTGACATGCTCTTGGTTATGGTCCGGCTGCTCTTGGTTATGGTCTGGTATGCTGTTGGTTAGGGTCCGGCATGTTCTTGGTTATGGTCTGGTATGTTCTTGGTTGTGGTCCGGCATGTTCTTGGTTATGGTCCGGCATGTTCTTGGTTGTGGTCCGGCATGTTCTTGGTTGTGGTCTGGCATGCTCTTGGTTAGGTTTCACCATGTACTGGTTTAGGATTCGGGTTATTGTTGGGCTCCAAAATGAATGTAGTTAATACAGTTTCGTAAAAAGATAAAATGACAAACGTGTTTTTCCGAGTACAGTCGTCCCTCGTTATATCATGGTTCACGTCTTGCAGATTCACTGTATCGCAGGTTTTTAAAATCTGTTTTTTTTTTATTGTGTGTTGTATGTGCTGTGTGCAGTACTGTACATTCATTTCATCGTCCTCATCTTCATTGCCAAAGTGTTTAAGAGCATATGAAGTGTTTATAAGAGAGTGGGAAGGGTTTATAAAGCCTTAATATAAATTAAAAAAATATAACGCTGCTGCTTTGCAGATTTTCATCTACCACGGGGGTTTCTGGAACATAACCCCAGCGATGGGTGAGGGATCACTGTATCACACTAAAGATGGAATCATGTTGCTGTTGTTGTTTACATTTGGCAAATTTCATCCTTTTCAGTTTCACACATTATTCAAGATGTGGATTTTAGAGAAAAGAGTTGACCTTCTCTTCCTGTTTGAGCAGCTAGTCTCCAGCAGAGGGCAGAATTCTGTAACACACACTGAATCATCATGTTTAGGTGGTGGTGTAGTGTACGTTTACCTCCAGGATTCTAAACTTTTATTTGTTTGAATAATTCAAACTGACGTGAGCCTGGTTCTGGTGAGAGTCCAAACTGTTGGTGCAGTGGACGTCTGTGATGTCTGATTTTGAAACATCAGGTGAGACTTATGGACACCTGCTGGTTGACTTATCACACTCTAAACTCTGTTTATTTTCTGTCATTAAAGACATAAATGCTGTTTTTTTCTCAGTGTGGGTTCATTTGTCTGTAGTGTTAGCAAAATATCTCATAAACTAATCGATTTTAATGAGAGCCCGAGAAATTTTTAATTGGATGTACATTGGATGTAATTGGTGTGGTAGTAGCTGAGAGTCATTCCAGCACGGACTCTGAGCTCCAAAGATTTTTAATATCCGATCAAAACAAAAACATCTGTTGATTTGAGTTGAAACTCAAGCATGTGAGATGGTGGGTGATCTGCATGCCTTCAACGGTAGCCAGGCTGTTGTTGTCTCAGTAGGGATGTTTCATATAACCGTGCGCTGCAAACGTGCACGGTACATCACATGTCCGCCAGTGTCGCGTCAGTTTCTCTGAGCCGTCTTGGCCTCAGAGAAACGTAATCAAGTTTCTGCCTCTTAAATTAAATCGGAGGAGCATGCCCTCTTCCCCGAGGCGGTACTTCCTGTACTACAGTACTACACATTTCTACACACATACATGTACACAAGGTTATAAAAGGGAAATGTGTAAAGGTAAACTCAACGAAGTTACCAGAACTGATTAATCCTCTCAGCTTGTTTTGTTTTCTTCTAGTCATCAACTCCTCCCTCATCATTCCTCTCAACATAAACAACAACAACAACAACACAGAGTGCTCCTGTTGGAGAAAGGCGGACAGTTAATAGACACACACAGAGACAAAATGGATGCCTACGCATAGATCTAAAGACTGGAAAAACACCTACACATGCAGACAGAGAGGTGAAGCTCACACAAACATGTCCACACGTGGATAACTCCAACAGCGGGTTGTCTCTGGTGGACAGCGGGTTGTCTCTGGTGGACAGC